AGCTTTCAACTTGGTGCTGGTCAAACCTTATGGAAGTGTGGAACTGAAACTATCCCACCCCATTTTATCTATGATAACTTAATTGAGAATGTGGTTCAATCAATCAAGCATGCATAGAGCTTAGATTGAATGTTAAGAGACTTTCTGAACTGGAATAACATTGAGCAAGAATCATGTTCAGATAGGCTAAGGAAACCTTGTTGAATTATCACCTGAGTTAAGAAGGGCTTGAATCCCAGAAATTGGAGCAAATCCCTGAAGTACAATTACTATGTGTGTGGGGTGAGGGTGAGGGGGGGGTGGGGGGATGTTGATTTTGGCCTCATACAGATTTCCTCCCCATCTATATACTTTGACTGGAGGAGGACCTATTGAACTTCAAAGGGTCTGAATGATGTTGTCTCAGCTTTTCTTCAGTGTCCTAGCCACATCCCTGGATTGATTGGTGGCAGTGTCTACACTGGGACCAAAAGGGAGATTGGACTCTTGGCTCAGCAGAGGAACCCAGCAAAGAAACTATGCCATGTCTACAGGAAATTTCTTGAGTATCCTATAAATAAGAAATTTTTTTTTTTTGCAAAAACAGTAGTTGGGACTCATCTCTTTACCATATGTGCTCTCTAAGCATGAGTCCTCTTTGCTCTGGACCTGGTACATACCTATAGCAGAGTGTACAGACTTTGGGGATATGTTTTGTACCAACTGTTATTACTATGCCTTAGAAAATACCTCTTTCTAAAAGTTATTTAAGACTGGCGGACCAAAAGGATTATTAACTAATATTCTTAGGCAGAAAGCACACCAGTGGGGGCTCAAGCCAATGGCATTAGAGAAACACTCGTGGGGGATACCTCTAGAATCCTGAGTATGAGATGTATCCATACTCTGGGGACCCAACTCAAGCAGTGAGAGTGGGAGTTGGGAGTAGGGATCTTCAGATCTTAGTTAGATTACATATATTTCAATGGATCATTATACACCATACTGGAAATTAATTAATTAATTAATTAGTTGATTTTTTGTTTTTTTCATACTGGAAATTTAGATGCACATCCGTTGTCTCAACCTATTAGTGACAGCCCATTTAAATTTCAAGAATTCCATTTTGTGTTTAATTTCACTGTTGCTGATCCTCTACTAGAAAATGCAAGCGGTTTCTTATGACCACAATTCTCTCATTACAGGACTGCTCCAATCAATGCCTTCCTGACTAGCATCTCTATGCAGCACCAAGAGATTGCTTAGATCTGCATAGGTAAACACTGACGTCTGTGTGAGGTAGTTAACCAGATCTATAAAAACTTGCTTTCTTTTATCAGTCTTAATAATCTCCAAAGAGTTATGTTCAAGATAATATTATGTTAAGGTTAAAACTATGTCTCTTGTCTTTCTTCAGTCATCAACAAGGGAGATCATTCTGTGGATTGGCAATTGCAGCAGAGTGCTTTAATTTTTTTTTTTTTACAACAGTCACCAAGTCTTTGAAAAGACATGACCAGTTGAGGAGAACTTCTATCTTCTCTGAGTCACTGTTCACTCTTGGCTGCTATACTATATGAACCCCACACTTGACAGAGGTGCTATAGAAATGGGCACTTGGCAACCGATTGTTTCAGACTAGCCTCCATCATCTAATCCAACGCTTTCATCTATCTCTCTTCATGCTCTTTCAGTATCTTTCCAAAGACACTGAGATTACCAGATACACCAACACCTCCATGTAGTTCATGTGTCCAACAACTTTTTCCATCAGGGGTTATGAAGTGGCAAGTGTTCCTCAGATGCCTGGGAGCCTACAGTAAAACTGGTCAAATCCAGTTCGGTAGATAAAAGCTCTATCTTCTTTGTTTTCCTCTGCAATAGGACTTTTATGGTATCAACTGTGTAAATCCAACACTGAGAACCACTGGCTGTCTAGCAAACAGACTGGGGATCTTACACTCTTGGTACAGTATACTGTTCCACTTTAACTATCTTGTCCGAAGTCTGGTAGTCTTAGCACTTCATTATTTTCCCTGATCTTCTTCCCTACCACCACTGTAGGTGATACACATAGACTACTAAAATATGGGATGATAGCATGGAACAATATTTCTTTTAATGGTTTCTGAGGATTCCCATCACAGGTAGAGGAAAATTCCCAGCTGTCTCTTGAAATGGTCAGGAGTCAGTGAGGTAGATTCAGTGCTCGTCAGGCATATCCCTGGTTTGGGAGCAGTTCTGGAGCTAGAAACAAAGTCATTTGAGTTCCGCCCCAGGGATCTCGTCTTACTTTCTTGCTGAACTTACACCCACTTCCCTAAGTTAGACTGAGTCAGGGAGATGTGAAATCCATGACTTCTCCTTCCTGGAAAGTGGAGCTGATTACCCTGTGATGACTCAAAAACAAAGAGGAAAGTATGGTCTTTTCATTACAACCCAGTCATTTTCCATTACTCCTGTGGCACTGAGTAGGCACCTCCATGCTTTCACAGTGACCTCTGGGGCCAGGGAAGCAGAGACACAGCTCTCCCCTCCACACCACTACAGTCCCCACCTGCTGCCCACTCACTTTCTTCAGACCCCAATTGCAACTAGCTGAGGCTTAGAGATGAACCTCTCTGGATCCAGGAAGGTGGAGGATGAGAAGGCTCAATTTTGGAGAGAGACATTGGAAAAGTCAGGCCATACAAGGAAGAGCTGAAGGATTCTTGGATGGCCATGCGGGGGCAAGGAGGGAGGCTGTAAGGAGGAGGTCATATTAAAAAGGCCTTAGATTTCTGCTTGGCTTGAGGGGCAGAAATAAGAGCAATGGGAAAAAGTTACAGGGAAGTGGATTTCATTTTAAGAAACAATCAGGAGAGAAGAGGATGGATTCACAATTCATTGACCTGGCCATGAGGCAGTGTGGAGTGGGTTAGAGAATGTACAAATAGGCTCATGATCAACCTGTTCAGGACAGACTAAAAAAAAAAAAAGGATGAGACCGGAGGATCAGGGTGAGAATACTGATAACTACACAGTGTTCTCACCTGAAGCCATTGTGTGGGAGTTGGAAGGGACCTTAGAAATCTAGTCAAGTTCTTTCCCCTTACCCAGAGAATACCACCCTTACCTGTAGACAACACCAGAGGGTGCTCACTGGGATGGATAATACTTAGACACATCACCTCTCTAGGTTACAATATCTGAGATACAAGATTCACCATTGACAATCTATTTATAGGAGAAAAAAGCTGTCTGTCAAGATCTCACACTGAGAGAAAAAAACTCCATCCTTGACAATTCCCCACCCCCTTACACCCCATCCTCAGGTCCCCACCTAAGCGGTGGTGGGAAGGGTTTTCCAGCTAGGTGGTGCACCAGATAGAGTGCTTGACCTGGAGTCAGGAAGATCTGAATTCAAATCCAGCCAAAGACACTTACTAGTTGTGTGACCATGGGCAAGCCACTTCACCTTTGTCTGCCTTGGTTTCCCCCATTTGTAAATTGGGGATAGTAATAGCACCTACCTCCTGGAGCTGTTGTGAAGATCAAATGAAATAATATTTATGAATTTCTTTGCTATCCTTAAAACCCTGTATAAATGTTAGCTATTATCATTTACTCCTTTACCTCCCTCATCATTCTACCCACCCATACATCCATTCATCAAATATTTAAGGGGTACAGATGTTGAGAAAGGTAGGGGGAGCTAGTACCTCATTTCTGTAGCACCCTAAGGTCCACAGAGCACTTTGGACTTGCCCAACACTCTAACAACAAACTTGTGAGGCAAAGTAAGAGGACTCTTATCATCCCCATCTTACAGGTGGCTCTGAAGGGTTAAATGAATTGTCTTGGTCTTTTTTTTTTTTTTTGCCTGTGTTTGTATCCCCACCACTTAGCACAGTGTCTGCCATAGAATAAGTGCTTAATTAATGCTTATTGATTGACTGACTTGCCCATGATCCCATGACTGAGTGTCTGAGGCAGTATTTGAAACCTTCAAGTCTAGGGCTCTCTCCACTAAATCAGAGGATGAGGAATGGGAAGGTTTGTGGTCCCTGCCCTGGGGGCTTTAGAGTTCTGGTGGGGCAAAAAGACTTATAGCAAATCCCAGATTTGGAAGGGATTGCCACAGGGTGTGCAGTCTGACTATACTAAAGCAGAAATCTTTCCTATCCTATCCCTAAGAACAAATGGGCAACCAGGCTCTGCTTGAAGACTGCTCATGAGAGAGAACTATCTCTATTCCACTTTTGGAGGGCTCCAACTGTTAGAAATAGCTCTTCACAGTGACTGGAATACAGTAGTTGCTTAATAAATACCTACTGATTGACTAGTAGGAAGGTTTACATTGTATGAAGCCCAAGTCTCTCTCTCTATCTTTCCCCCAATCACCCATCCCCGCCCCCAACTGCTCCTAGTCCTGTTCTCTAGAAAAAAAAAAATAGAACAAGTTTAATCTCTCTTTCCTATGAGAGCCCTCAAAATACGTCGACAGCGATCATGTCCCTGTCAAGTTTTCTCTTCCCAGGCCAAATATAGACCAATTTTAATCTTCATGTGGCTTGGTTTCCAGTCTTTTTACCATCCTGGTTAATGGATGGCTGAGCCTGAAGGGACCTTCATATATAACCTATATATATATATATAGCTTGCTTTGTATATATTTGTTTTTGTATTGTCTCCCCCATTAGATTGTAAGCTCCTTGAGGGCAGGGACTGTCTTTTGCCTCTTTTTATATTCTTACTGCTTAGCCTGGCACTTAATGAATGTTTATTGATTGATTGAATTGAAATGGAGTCCAACATGTGTTTATGTGTGTGTGCATGCACTTGAACAACTGTATACATGACCCATCATTGAGTTCCCCGACTGAAGCACCTGATGGCAACTCAACACACGATCCACAGTTTATGAAATATAACCAAGCAATTTAGACAAGAAAGGAAAGCAAGCTGAGGACTTCTAAGTTCCTTCCAGCTGTGAGTCTATAATCCTTGACCTGCGCAGATTATCGGTAACAGAAGGGAGGGAGGAAGTGGAAGACATGAAAAATGTGGTGCTAAGAGTGTCAAGGCTTGACAAGAAAGGAACTGGGTATCAGAGCTGCTTCCTCTGCGGAAGGGGGCTCAGCGGCACAGCAAAGGCAGGAAAGGACCACAGAGGGGCTGGACGGAAAGCAACACATATCTGAGCGCTGGATTGGAAGTCAGAAGACCTGGGACCCAATCCCAGCTTTACCACTGACTAACTGCATGGCTTTGGACGAGCAGCCGCACCTTTTTGGGTTTCTCTATTTCCTCTTCTACAAAGTGAGGGGCTAGGAGGAGGTTAAACAGGCTGGCCTCGAAGCTCCCTTCCCGCTCCAAGTCTGTGATCTCATGACCCTGTAGAAATGAGGGAAAGGGGAGCCTCGACAGAGACTGAAAGGAGGTGGACGTAGCCAGATTGTGTGTCCATGTCTGGTCCCTAGGGGGAAGGCAAGAGGTCTTCTGCCTCAGAATGTGTGGTCCTTAATGTCTCATTCTCAGTAAGGGCTGGATGGGAAAGGAAGAGCAGAATGGAGAAGGAGGTGGCCAGAGTTTCCTCTCTTGCTGACTTGACATCCAGAATCTGAAAAGGAAGGGAGGGTCTAATAAATGTGACGCCTGTAAAGATTGTACCAGACAGGCTCATTTCTTCTCTTTAGGTGGCCCAGCCTACATCCTCACCATGAACTCCTCAAGCTATCAAAAATGGGAAGACCACGACCATCCTGATTTGGGCCAGTCTCAGCTAGGTGGGAGCTCGCAGGGCACAGGTACCAGTCACGAGGGCTTCCTGGAATTGGGAGGCAGAATGTTGGGAGTCACTTGTGCTCTTAGGGGCCCAGCCCTCTCCTTTTTCTTTTGATTTACCCTGCTCTAGAAACCCCATAGGAGTGGCCCAGGGCCCTAAAGGGAAAGAGAACAAAGATTAAGGTTACCACCAAATGCTGTCCTGCTTGCCAGCCTATCCCCTCACCTCTAAGGTGAAGGCATTCCCACCCCTTCTCCACCTAGTCCAGGAATGGGATCCGGGTGGCCTTGGGCCTCCTCTGGTTGGGCCAGGCTTGTGCCTCAGTATTCCCGTCAGGGGGTCTCCAGGGTCCTCATTTCCTGGTTTCTCTCAGGCTATTGGAGGAAACTGTTTCCCAGAGATCTGCACTCAAAATCTGTCTCCTTGATGCTAGCTGTGATTCTACTGCTGTGGATTCTCCTCATTGTGGTGCTGGTCAAGGGTGAGGGGACCAGAGGGAGGGAAGTGAGATATTGGGTGGCCTCCACAGAGTTTGGGGTGTGGGAAGGGATGAGGAAGGGGCTTCAGCACAGGGTTCCAGAAACCTTTAGAGCTTTGTTCCCCTTTCCAGGCCCCCTTTCCTTCTTCTTGGTCTCACCAGCTCATTCCTCCTGATTATCTGTCATCCTTCCCCTGCTCCTTTCCCAGCCCCCACTGACCTCTGTGGGGATCCTGTACAAGCGTGCATGTGTGAATGCATGTCTTTGTGTGTATTTGTACACATATGTGTCCCTAGGCTCAAAGACCTCCCAGGAGCTGAGTCAGCTAAAAGAGGAAGTGAGAACCAATGGTAGGTGGGGCTGGATGCCTGGGGCAACCTGGTCCACACGACCCCAAACCACTATTGGGGGGGGTACAATTCCATGAATCTGTGGGATTGAGGAACTATGGGGCCTCTTTCCAGCTTCTATCTGGAAGAAGGATGTGGGGGAGCTAAGAGAGGACGTAGCCGCTGCCAGGAGAAATGGTGAGAAGCAACAGAGAGGGTTGAGGGCAGGAGCTAAGAAGGACTGATAGGGGAGGGGCTGAGAGCGAGCGAGCTGGGGACATGGAGGGGAGAACTCTGGCTCGCCTTGTCCCAGATCCCTCTCCTCTCCCTATGCCCAGCCTCTGCCTTATGGACTGACTTGGGGAACTGGGAGAATAAAGTGAGTGAATCCCACGGCCGACTGCTCAAGCTGGAAAGTGAACACAATGAGTTCAGCACCAAGAGTAAGTCTTCCCCATGGAAACAGAAGCCTCAGCCACCCCTCAAAGCCAAGGTTATCCCCTAGCGCCTGTCCTACTCTTTGGACATTGTTGTATCCATTCCTGCCAGACCTTCCCACATTGACCCTGCTCTGTGTCCCTATACCAACCCTCTTGGACAATCTAACACTGATCCTGTCAACTATTCCCATAATAACTCATCCTGACCCCTTCCTAACAACCTCATTGGCTATTCGCAGAATCAGCCCTCCCAGAAACCCACCATAGGGCTCTCCAAATACCTTGACGTTGCCACCAGACATACCCTTACTCACTCTGCTGGACACACTCCCACTCTTTTCCCTCTGCTCTCCCAGTGACTCAGGCCCTGGCAGAGGCTGGGAAGGACCGACAAGACATTCGCAGCGAGATGTTCCGGGCTGTGGCTGCTGTGAGAAGTGGGAACAGTGAGTTGATTCACTCAGAGAGACACTTGGCAGTGGGTTGGAGTGGCTCAGTCTGAGGGAAGCTAGAGTAGAGAAAACGGGAGCCAGAGGCCCTCAAAGTGGCCTGGCCTTAGGCTTAGCTGTCTACTACTTGCTCAGATAGTTGTTTCTCATGGATCCAAGTCCAGGGTTGCAACCTCCATCCTGTACCCCCACCACCACCTCCCATGGCTGTCCCATTGGGTGGTACCTCTCTGTCCTGAGCACTGATCTCTCAGCATACTCAAGGCCTTGCTAGGGTCCTAGACTTACAGAGCCTGGTGTAGCAGCAAGGTTTAGTGTGGGCTCCAGAAAACTGGCCAAAGATCAAGGGCCCATGGTAGCTCAAGAGTCATCCACCAGCATCCCTCCTTGACTTTATCCTAGGGGGTTGGATGCTGGGATACAGCATAGGACTCCTTTCTCAGGCCAGAATAGAGAGGTGGTCTGTCTTGTGCCCACAGCAAACTCTAAGCACCATTCCCAGGTTCCTGCTCCCCATGCCCTGATTCCTGGCTGGCCTTTGAGGGTTCTTGCTACTTCTTCTCCACCACCAAAGTTCACTGGGATCAGTCACAGCAGAACTGTGCCCAGGCGCAGGCACACCTGGTTATTGTGAACAGCCTTGAGGAGCAGGTAGAAGCTGGGGGAGCAACAAAGGCTTGGGGAGAACCCCCCAAGGCCAATCTAAGAGGGAAAACATGGACCTCAGGGGAGCCTATGGTTTGGGGAGGAGACATAGCACGTGGGGGAGCCTCTGCCCTGGTGGGCAGGATGTCCTTGGTTTAAGGGGAAAGCAATGATACCTGCCCTCTCAGCTCCCAATCTGAGGAGGTGAGGAAGGATTGCTCCCTGCCCCAGATAGCTCCTTATCCAATGGGGAGACCTAGCCCCTAGAGTAGCCACCAGTGTGAATGGGGGAGATATATGTCCTGGGAAGGGTGGGGATCATGATTCCATTGCCAACTCTTACTCCTTGCTAAGACCTTCCTGACCCGGAACACCAAAGGCTTGGGTTACTGGATTGGACTCACAGCAACTCGTGCCAGAGGAAAGGTTAATGGGTACATGTGGATCGATGGTACCAAACTCACTTTCAGGTAAATGTCTTCCCCTGGGACACAGGTCGAAGCTCTCAAGGCACATGCTCAGGTACAAGTGCTGAGTCTGAAGTCCCACTAGATAGGCCAAAGAATGTCCAAGATTGAAAGGCTCTTATTTATAAAATCGAATATTAAAAAATCCAAGTTGGAGGACCCTTAAAATACAAGTCGGAGTACCAGAGCTTGAGATACCTTAGAGCATAGATCATTGAAAAGAAGAGCTAGGAGGGCCCTTAGAACATACCATATGGTATTTCAGGATGGTTAAGGACTCAAGAACCCAGAATGTCGAGCTAAATGAGATCTCAGAACATAGAGCATGGGATATTAGAGCTGGAATGGACCTTAGGGCATAGAATATCAGAGCTGGGAGGGACCTTAAAACACTGGATGTCAAAACTGGGAGGGCCCTTAAAATACAATGTCAGAGGTAGGAGGTGCCTTAGAACACAAAATATCAGAGCCAGGAGGGTCCATGGACCACAAAATATCAGAGCTAGGAGGGCCACTAGAATATAAGATAGTTCATTCAAGTTGTCAGGTCTAAACAAATGACCTTCCCTAAACAAATGAAAGAATGATCAACACTTGTTGAGCTGCTAGCATTGACCTGGTATAGCGGCTAAGATGTGAATTAAGAGTCAGATGACCTGAGTTTGAATATGGGCTCTGCCCCTCACTCCCTTACTTTTTCTAGACTTTATCATTGTTAAGGGAAAAGGGTCAGCTCAGATTATCTCTAAGGTTTCTTCCAAATTTCATCCCGTAACGCTATGGCCTTTTCCAAAATAATGATGATTGGGAGAATTGCCTTAGGACTGGAGAGGGAGGTAGAGCCTGCAAATTATGGGCTGCTGTACTTAACTGACTCCCAGAAAGAATCTAGCATACATTATTGAAGGGGTAGTTTGTGAGCTTGTATAGAAAGAGAAGCAGTGAATTCCTAATAATAGCTCTTCTCAATGCTCTCTGAGGTCCCATCCAACTTTGAGATTCAGTGATTTTGTGATGATGAAGGAACTGGAAGGCATAAGAACTGGGGCAAGGAGAGGGACAAGAGAACCAGCTTCAAGTATTCAAAGAGCTGTCATATAGAAGAGAGGTTGGACTTTTTTTCTGCTTGGCCCCAAAGAACAGAACTAGGATTAAAGGCAGAAAGGGGGCAAGTTTTAGTTTAAGAGAAAACTTCCTAATGATGAGAGTTCTCCCAAAGTAAAAGGGCTGAGAAACAGCTAGGTCCCAATTGGTATGAATAATGAATCCGTGAAGTGATTGATTATATTGGTATTCACATTATTTGACAGTTACAACTATGTAACTGATGGAAATATGCCATAAGAATTTGAATATGTGCCCATTTCAGAGATTCTTTATTTTCATGAACTGGGACCTATCTGTAGTGAGAACCCCAGCTCTGCAGATCTTTAAGCAAAGGTTAGATGACTCTTTTTAAGGATATTGAAGACAGGATGGCTGCTCAGGTTGGACATTGTGTCAGAGCTTTGAGTTCCCTTCCCAAAAAAAAAGACAGAGACAGACAGAGACAGAGAGGCAGAGAGAGACACAGACAGAGACTCTGTGACTCTTAGTGGGGCTTTCCAGGCATCCCTTGTGAACTGGGGACAAGAAGGAGAGATGGCTTTTTGCTTATCCCTTTCTATCATTCCCTCCCAGATGTGTAAGGTCCCCAACTCTGAAAGCACCAGCAGGTGTTCTATGTTATTTACTAGAACACCAGGACACCACTGGCTTTTGGCTTGGTGTGAGTCTGCAACAAGGTATCTTTTGTTATCATGGTTATGGGACCTCCTGCTTCCACCCATACAGCTACTGGAATGAAGGGGAGCCCAATGATTCAAGAAGGAATGAGAACTGCATCATGATGCTTTACTCGGGTCGATGGAATGATGCACCCTGTAACAACCTCAATGACAACTGGATCTGTGAGAAGAGGCAGCAGTGTTGAGGTGAAACCTACTGCCCAACCCTGTTCTGGGACAATAAAAATTTTTCTCTTCCCCCCCAACGTAGTGGATTGTCTAAGGATCCTTGTCTTCTCTCCAAATTAGGGACTCTCTAAGGGGAGTGGTTGTTTTCCAACTCAAATTGCCCTGGAGGGCAAACACATCATCATCATCATCATCATCATCAACATCTCTCTCTCTCTCTCTCTCTCTCTCTCTCTCTCTCTCTCTCTATCTCTATCTCTCTCTCTTTCTCTCCCTCTCTCTCTCTCTCTCTCTCTCTCTCTCTCTCTCTCTCTCTCTCTCTCAAATTTTGGCAGGCAGGAATAATGGCCACATCTAATAAGACAAAATTTAACAATGATGAATAACCTCAGGTTAAAAAAAAATTAATTTGATGATGATGATAATCATTGTCATAATAGCTAGCATTTATAAAGTGCCTACTATGTGCCAGGTACTGTGCGAAGCACTTTACAAATATTATTTTATTTTATCCTTACAACCCTGGGAGGTATGTGCGGTGATAATCTCTATTTTACAGTTGAGGAAACTGAGGCAGACAGCAGTTAAGTGACTTAGTTTAAGTGATTTAAGCAAAGTCACACAACTAGCAAGTGTGTGAGGCCAGATTTCAACTCAGATTTTCCTGACTCTAGTAGGCTCAGGGCTTTATCCATTGTACCATCTAGCTGCCTTATGTGGTAGGAGATGGAATAAGCATGGCTAGACAGCATTTAATCGGAAGAAAAACTCGGTTGCAAGCTCGATATGAATCAATAATGCAATATGTGATCTAAGAAGCTAATAATAGCTGGTATTCATGTAGCACTTTAAGGTCTGTGAAGTGCTTTGCAAATATCATCTTATTTTATCCCTACAACAACCTAAGACACCAGCAAGACACCAGTTGTACCTAAAGTGACCGACCATTTATCAGATTAGAATCACCCTCATAAGCCATGATCTTAAATCACTTCAGAAGGTATGTGCTAACCTAGTTAGAGGAGCCAAAGAAAAGAATTTGAAAGTGAAGAGACCTGTGCATAGGCTCACTAAGACATTTGGATCACAACTAGGAAAAGATTCAGACTTGGGATCAATTCCAAATGAGACTCCACAAACATTTGATTTGCACAGTCCTCCTGAGATGGTTAAACAGACTGCTTCTATCAGTATTGAATCATAGCAATTGAAATCACTATTGCAGGTGTCTAATTATCCGTTTTAATAAATTGATCATTTACTAAATGAATTACTTTAAAAAAAAAAGAAAGAAGAAAATCAAACAAACAGAAAAAATGTTAAATTCAAGAGGTAAACTGACAGGGATAGGATGATAAGCAGAGGAGGATTGTAAGATTGGGTGTTGTATCTGGGAGGGAAAAGTTATAAGCAAACCAAACTTCAACTTTAAAGAGTCGATTGTGAAGGGGAGGAAAAAATGGAAAAAAAGGGTAAGACCCGGGGATCAGAGTCTGGAAGAAGGAAGAGAGGAGAGGCAGTGAAGCAAAACTAGATTGTACCAATTATATATCTCTAGAGTCTACCACACTTCTCTTTCACAACTGCCATCTTCTTTGTAAAGAGGGGAAAGAAGGGTCAACAAGAGGAAAGATGGAGAGAAATATCAAAAATTAACAGTCATAACTATGAATGCGAATGAGAGCAACTAATCATAGGATCATTCATTTAGAGATGGAAATGACCTTAGAAGCCATCAAATCTAACTACCCCATTTTACATATGAGGAAACTGAGTCAAAATAGAGGGTAAGGACTTTCCTAGCATCAAACAGCAAGTGTCTGAGACAGGATTTGAATCCAGTTCTGACTCCAAGTCAAGTGCCCTGTCCAGAATGGATCAGAAAGCAGAACTCAACCAGCTGTTGTTGGAAACACACTTGAAAGATAAAAATTTATATAGCATTAAAATAAGAAACTAAAGCAGAATTTATGATGCGTTAACTGAACTAAAAAAAAACAACAACAACAAACCAACCCAGCAGTAGCAACTATAATTTCATATAAGGCAGCAGTGAAAAATATATCTATATCTATATATCTATATATCATTAAAAGATTCAAAAGGAAAACTACAATATGCTTAAAGGCACTATAGACAGTAGAATGATAACAATATATATGAACCTACTGGCAAAGTATCTAAGTACTTAAAGGAAAAGTTAACTGAATAACAGGGAGAAATGAACAGAAAAACAATATAATAGTTGGGGACCTTAATGTACCCTATTCAGACCTAGACAAAGCAAACAAAAAGACAAACAAGAATGAAACTAATGACCTGAATAGAATTTTAGAAAAGTTAGTTGTGATATTTATTGTAACATTGATTATTATAACTGATTGATTGTTATTAAATGTGAAAGGAATATATATGTTTCTCAAGTATACATGGCATCTTTACTGGGACCATGTACTGGCACATGAGGACCTCATGAAAAAATGCAGAAAAATAGAAATGTTAAACATATCCCTTACTGACCACAATGCAATAAAAGTTATAATCAATTAAGAGCCTTTGAAGAAAGGATCCAAACTTAAATGGAGACTAAATCATGGAAACTGACAATTTCATCAAAGAAAATGACAACAATAAGACAACATATGGAATTCAGATAAGGCCGTACTTAGAGGAAATGGTATCTTTAAATCCCTTCTGAAAAAAATAAAGAGAAAAAGAACAAATCAGTAAATTATTTATGCAACTAGAAAGACTGGGAAAAATCCAACGAATCAAAAAACCCCAACTAAATGCCAAAATTTTAAAAATGGAAAATGGAAAAGTGGGGCAGCTAAGTAGTGCAATAGATAGAGTGCCAGCCCTAGAGTCAAGGGACCTGAATTCAAATCCAGCCTCAGATACTTACTATCTGTGGGACCCTGGGTAAGTCATTTAACCCTGTTTGCCTCAGTTTTTCATCTGTAAAATGAGCTGGAGAAGAAAACGGCAAACCACTCCAGTTTCTTTTTCAAAAAACCTACAAATGGGGTCACAACTGAAATGACTGAACAACAGTAACTAATTGAAGAAGTTACCAACAAAACTGAAATTAAAATCATTGAATTGATTAATAAAACTATGAGTTTTTTAAACTAATAAAATAGATAAATCATTAGTTAGTCTGATTTAAGGGAGAGAAGACCAAATTATCATTATCAAAACTTAAAGAAAAGAATTCACAACAAATTAAGAAGGAATAAAGGAAATTATTAGAAACCATTTTACTCAATTGTTTGTAAAAAAAATCGCTATCTTAGATGAAATGGGTGAATATTTACAGAAATGTAAAATGTCTACATTAACAGAGTAAGAAATAAAGAATTTAAATAACCCAGTCTTAGAAAAAGGAAATTGAATAAGCTACAAATGAACTCCTAAAGAAAAAAAAAAAGAACCCAGGACCAGAGGGTTTTATAAGTGAATTTTGCCAAATATTCAAAGAACAATTAATTTCAATAATATGTAAAGACAGAACTAAACTCACCCTGCTGGACTTACCCCTGATACTTTTATCAGGTAAGAACACTGCTCAATGACCTCACCTTAATACATTTATCAAGCCAGAACATATCTTCTTAGATGTGAACAGGCCCTGGACACCTCCATAGGTATAACTGGAAGTCTGCTCAAATTGGCTGAAGGACGTGGTAACACTCTGTGGGACCTCTATAAAACCAGGAAGCTAGCTGGAATCTGAGGTTCAAATATCCAGCAAAGGAGAGGAATTGGTTGACAGTGGGGAGAGCCTTGGCCTTAGCCTAGATCTCCTTCTCCCCCTTCCATGATTGGAGGAAGACATTATGAGCTTTGACGGGATCAGTGTTCTAGAAGTGTGCCCATAATAGCTGATAGTGGTGTCTGAATTGGGAGCTAAGGTTAGATTGGATGCAGATTCAAGGCTCTACAAAGAGCCCAAAATAAAAACTACATTATACATAAGGGGAACATTTTGAGAATTCTAGCAAAAGTACTTCCAGGAGCTGTGGATTACCCTTTTGCTACATGTGCTCCCTAAGCTCATGCCACTTTCCCTTAAACTCTGTATATACTTGTGGAAGAGCATGTCACAGGCTTTTAGGGGGATGTTTTGAACTTTCTTTATTATACCACCTTAGTAAATGGCCACTTTTAAAGCTAATTAAAACTAGATGACTCAAAGATTGCAGCTGGTAGTTATGGTAGGAAGCACACTAATGGGGGCTCATGAGCTAGAGAATTAGAAAGATAACTCTCAATCCCTCAAAACTACCCCTAGAACGCCAAGGGGAGAGAGTAGCCATATATGAAAGGCCCAGTTTGTCAGTGCAAATGGAAACTGAGATAGTGGTTACAGATCATGTGCTATAAGTATATAAACTAACTGAAAAAGTAGAGGGGGAAATATCTTACCAAATTTCTGCTATGATACAAATAGGATCTTCATAGCTAAACTAGGGGAAGACAAAGCTGAGAAAGAGGTCTTAGACAGTCTTTTTTTGGGGGGGGATGGGCAATGGGGTTAAGTGACTTGCCCAGGGTTACACAGCTAGTAAGTATTATGTGTCTGAGGCTGGATTTGAACTCAGGTGCTCCTGAATCCAGGGCTGGTGCTCTATCCACTGGGTCACCTAGCTGCCCCTAGACCAATAGTTTTAAAGCATATTCACACACACACACACACACACACAAATACATATATATATTTTACCTTGAAAGCAGAAAGGACTTTATTGCTTTCTCATGAGAAAGGGCACCGCCCCTCATCAGACTAATGGCACCAGCCAGGAGAGCACAAATTGGTTACAGAAAGCAAGGTTTATCTATACACTAACATGAGCTCCTCCTCCCTAACCCCCTTCCCCTTATCCCATTGGCTGGGCTTCAGGGGGCACAATGTATTCACAGAAATCTTCCCCAGCAACAGAGACAAGAAAAGTTGGGAAGTTTTGCAAGGGTAAAGCTATTCTTTCTTTCTGCTACGTGCTTAAAAACAGGGTCGGGGGGGGTGTAGTTTTGAAAGCATGCTTTTACAAGGTCAGAAGGGCAACAATACAAG